AGGACGCTGACCCCGACGATGCTGTTCACTACGTTCATGATCAGCCCCCAGTTGGAGGCGGCGGCCGCGGTCATGGCGCGCGGTCTGGGACCCGGGAGCCCGGGTGCGAGGCCCTGAGGGAGACGGGAGGCTGCCTGGAGGAGGCGGCCTTGCGGGAAGGCGGCGGGGACAGTCAACCTCCGGGCCGCGCCAGACCCCGTGGCCGCTTCATGTCATCGTCCTCCGCTCACTCCCGCCGGCCGCCTCTGCGTCCCCGCACCCAGACCCGGAAGAGCCGCCGGCGCCAACTAGGCACCCCTCAGGCCGACTCCGCAGCCGCCCCGGGACGCACACTTCCGCCTGCCGCGGGCTCCCCTGCCCGGAAGTGACGGCGCGGGGCGGGGCCTGAGGGAGGGGCGGGGCCCGGCGTGGAACTGCCGGGCTCTGCGGGCGGGGCTATACAGATCGCGAACCAATGAGAGGCAAGGTCGGGTCTGTGAGCGGGACCTGGGGGCGGGGCCGGCGGCGGTGCACCTGTACAGTTCGCCGCCTCGATCCTCCCGCAGAGCTGGGCTCCTGAGCCCCGCCTTGACCGGGGCAGAAGGGCTGGGGACCCGCCTCGCAGAACCCCCATTCTGAAGGGTAGTGGAGAGCAGGGGGAAAAGGGCTGCGCCGCGCCTTCCGGACAGGAGCAGGGTTTCGAGGGTTCATTTTAACAGTTAGACCTAGGATCGTTTCGGAGGCTGTGCTTGGTGCCCTGGGCACCGGGGCGGTGGCCTTAACTGTCGGAACCAACCCCTTAACCTGTTCGGAGGAGTTAGCACCTACATTTTACTAATGAAACGCTGAGGCGCGGAGAGGTTTGGTGACTCAGCTAAGGTCACAAAGCTCGTAAGACAGGGCGTGGGGATCTGCTCCCCCGGCTGGCTCCCTTCAGAACTGCACCCGGAGCAGCGTGAGAAGAGAATCTAACATTCCAATATTAAAAGCGTAGAGGAAATACCGTGCGAGAGAGGTACAGACCAGGGAAACCTAGAAAAGGCCTCAAGAAGGAGGTGGCTTCTCGGCTAGGCCTTGAGAGCCAAATGGGAATGGAGGATGGAGAGGGCTTTGGGGAGGGGAGAGAACAGAGAACGACCTTGATACAACTGTGAATTCCTGACACCTGGCAGATGCTCACTATGTGTCTCCCGGATCCATGCGTAGAGACAGGAGGGCTGGGAAAGGCCTTCTCAGGAAGAAGCAGGTAATTCCGAGAAGGCGGGTAGTGTGCACGGGGACAATCAAAGGCTGCTGGGAGAGGATGGGGACCATGTTTGCAGGTACATGGAGGACCTTGCCTCGTGGAGAAGAGACTGATTCCTCAGCTCCCAGAAGCAGAGCCACTAGGCAAGGCTCTGTCCCACCCCCAGGTGTGAGGGGAATAAGAGTCAACGCAGGGTAAAGAGTAAGTAGATTCAAAACCAAAATAATAAATGCCATTTATTCATTCCGTATAAATTGAGCGTACATTCTATAACCTGCTTTTTATTAATTGTGTAGTTTTTATGAAATATCCATGCAAGGCAGGATACGCATAACTTAAACGTATGCTTTAACAAAGAAAAATGCTCACAAACCCACCATTCGGCTTTAAGACAATATTAGCAGAAACTTCGATATTCCCTTGTTTCCTCCACAGGTCCACCTTCATTCTCTCTCTGCGGCCATCCTGGGATCATCGCTGTCCAGACTATTAACTCATTACTTTTCTTTAAAGATGTACCACGTACAGATGTATCCCTAAACAGTTGTGAGGAAGATTACTATTTGTCTCTTAATACTTATTACATCTTCCAAATTTTGCCGACACATGTGGCTGTCTAGAATAAAGAATACACTTCCCAGGCTCCCTAGCAGCTAGAGGTGGTCCTGTGACTAAGTTCTGACCAACGAGGAGTGAGTAGAAATGACAGGTACAACTTTTAGGTAGATCCTTAAAGGGGAGGTGGTCTGGCCCTTCCACCTTCCTTCATCCTAATGATAAGAACCGAGAGGTGATGGTGAGGAGCCATCTTGGGCCATGTGGACCGTGGTAGAAGCAGAGTGGCAGCCAGGAGGAGCCCGGGTCCCTGGACAGCGTGATAGATCGGAGCTGCCATCCCAGCCCCTGACCATTTCCCTCGGTCTGCTCCATGAGGAGCTGACGAACCATCTCGTTTAAGCCACTATTATTGGACTGTTTAATGAAGCCAAAGCTCTAACCTAATTAATTCAGTAGCATATTGGGGTAGAGCGCTTTGCAGTTTTGACTTTTATACTAATGGATTGATACATATAAATTCTTCCACAACTACCTTTTCCCCTCAACTTTGTTTGCAAGCTTCACCATCATTTTGCAGGTACTCACTCTGAGTCATTCATTCTCACTGTTCTATGAAAATCAGTTGTTTGAAAAGCCCAGGATGTTTGTATGTATCCATTCTCCTGCTGAGAGCACCTGAGTCGCTTCCGATTGCCTGCCACTATCAACAGTGACGCAGGGACATTGTGCTACTTGTCTCCTTAATATGTTGGAGTTTCTCTAGGGTAAATACCTAGAAGTGGAATTGCAGGTTCAAGCCTGTGCATACCTTTGATTTTCCTAGCCATTGCCAGATTGCTCTTCAAGGTACTTATAAGAGTTCTTGCTGGTTTACATCAGAGGCTGGAAAACTTTTTCCGTAAAGAGTCTGATACCAAATATCTTGTGCTTTGCAAGCCATAAGAGTCTCTGTCACAACTATTCAATTCTGCCTTTGTAGCTCGAAAGCAGCCCTAGAGGATACATAAACAAATGAGCATGTCTGCATTCCTATAAAACTTTATTTACAAGAGCATCCGCTGGCCCATTTGGGCCCGAGGGCCACATGCTGTGGACCCGTGCCCTATACTGTCATCAACGCTTGGTATCATCAATTTGGCCAATCCAGGGACTAAAATGGAATCTCATTGTGGCTTTAATTTGTTCTCCCTGATGACAAGTGTGGTTAATCATCTGCTCCTATTTTCATTGTCCATTCCTATTTCTTCTGTGAAACGCTTGTTCGTTCTTGCCCGTTTTTCTAATTAGCTGTTTGTTCTTAGGAATTTTGAGGGGTCCTTTCCACATGCTTGATAACCAGCCCTGTGTCCCTTCGTTTGTGTTTGTCTCATGTCTCCTCATTGTATTAGTTTTTCATTCTGTCCTAACAAATCACCACGAAGTCAGCAGCTCAACCGACACAAATCCATTGTCTTGCAGTTGACGGCATGCAGTTCCTTCGGGCGGTAGGACCAAGGCCCCTATCTGCTTGCCGGTTGTAAAATGAGGGCCATTTCTAGCTTCTAGAGGCTGCCTGTCCCCTGGCTCATGGCCCCCTTCCTCCAACTGCAAAGCCAGCAATGGGGACAGAGCATCGACTCCTCCTGACACCAAATCTCCTCCACCCAGCCGGGAAAAGTTTTCCAATGTTCAGGGTTCATGTGATTAGATGGAGCCCATCAGGATAATCCAGGATAATCTCCTCATCTCAAAGTCTTGTAACCTTAATCACATCTGCAAAGTCCCTTTTGCCAAGTAAGGTAACATGTTCACAGGTTCCAGAGATTAAGTTGGGCTTGTCTTGGTGGGGCCTCCTTCTGCCTCCCACACTCGTGATGGCATCCCAGTTGTTTCTCTAGCAGAAATTTTACAGAAGGGATGCCAAGTGGCAGCTCTCGGGGCAGCAGCTCTCCATTAGGTCCCTGGAGATGACAGCCGCGGGCACTGTTTGGGCAGGAGGGGGCTGGGGACTGGGAGCCCGGCTCTTGTGCTGGCCACCACTGTCTTCAAACAAGGGAGAGCGACGCCCACCTGGATGTGTGTGGTGAGCTGAAGGATCCTGTTCTCCCACGCCGGGCAGGGTGGGGCGGGGCGGGGTGCTGTTTGGCTGGGGATGAGTGCCCTCCCCACTTCCCCTCCCTCTCCCCCCACTGCAGTCCTCACCAAAGAAACACAGGGACTCAGCCTGGGTCAAACCTACGCGGGAGCTGGGGCTGCTTCCAGAAGCAGCTGGGGAGGTGACCCGGGCTCCAGAAGAGGCAGCTGTGCAGCCTGCTCAGCCCGAGCACCTGGGCACCAGATCCATCCTCCTGTCTGCAGGTGGGGAATGGAGCCAGCGCCTCACCTGCAGTTGGCTGTGAGCTCGAATGTGAAGTCCCAAAGAGGCCTGCTCCCGTGTCTCCCTAAGAGCGTCTTTTGGGGGGCAATCCCCTGACTTTTCAACAGTATCTCCAACTTCCAAACTGAAAGCATGATGGGAAGCCAAGATGGCCCCTCAGAAGCGGGCGTCAGGAACCCTGCGGGCCTGGGGTGACGCGATTGCCTGGTAGCCAGGGCTCTCGTCACCCAGACGGGCAGGGGTTAAACATCCTCCAGCCGGTGTCTGAGTTGTCTGGAAACTTGAGTTCCCCTCCCCCCTCTGCTGGGTTCTCTCCTTCAGACATTCTGGTCTGAGCAGAGCCTGAGGCTGCCCCAGACCCAGGGAGGAGACGGGCAGCCTCCCTGGCCCCGTCCTGCCTCCCTGTCCTCTCTTCCTGCTGCTTGTACAACCCACAGCCATAAAACTGACAGCAGGTCCACAGGCCGGGGTGGGTCTCATTCAGCATCTGCTGTTTGGGACGCCATCGGCCACTCAGGCAGCCAGGCTGCTGAGGGCCCCGTGGAACGTCGCCTGTGCAGGGAGCCCCAGGCCTGCAAACCACCCCCCACGCTCACACACACTTGTCCCTGGCCCTGGTTTTCTTAACAGGGCATGAGAAGAAAAGGGTCTCAGATCCGGGCCCTTCCCAGCGGCCCTGGCGTTTTCTGAAGCGAGCGCTGTGTTCATTTCATCGGCCCCTCCGGGGAGGGGGAGGGGAGGACCTGAGGTGGTTCATTTCATCGACCCCTCTGGGGAGGGCGAGGGGAGGACCTGAGGTGGGAGACACCTGGCCAGCCCGGTGTGGCAGGGAGGAAGACCACACACCACTTTTTCTGTCACAGCTGCCTGCCGGGCTGGAGATGCGGGAGCCTGCCCAGGGCTGGGGAGCTGTGCTGGTACTCAGGGGGGAGCAAGGAGCCGGTGGGACGCCCATGGCCCCTGCTGAGTGGGCCTAGCCTGGGGAGTCCCTCCTTGAGCCCCCAAAGCAGCCGCTCAAGGGGTTTTCACAGAGCTCAGGCTGTTGCTGACCACCGCAGGCTCCGGCAAGCGCAGGCTCAGACAAGGGCCCAGGGAAGGAGGTGGTCAAGAGGGCCGCTAGCGGGCACCTGGGAGGGTGCCTTACACTTGTCACCCACGCCTCCAGAGGCCTTTGGCGGGAGCAGGGCAGACATGAGACCCTCCACTGGAAA